TGGCTTTGGAGCATGGAGTTGCATAATGGGTAAATTACAGCTTCCAGAAGGAAAGCCTTGCCTCCAACATTGACTGCCATGTGATCTTGGGCAAATCGTTTGACCTGAAAAGGCTCATCTGTTAAAGGTAAAACAGTACTTAGCTCAAAGAATTCTGAGGATTAAGTAAAATAATGCATATGAATAAACTTGGCCCAGTACTAACTTGATGTTAATAATGGACAAATCTCAGCTACTGTCACTGGTACTGTTATGTGGATTACCTCTTTTCTCCTTCTGCCCAGGAGTGGTGCTTCAGGGACAGTATCCACTGGAGTTGTGTAGTGGGCCAGCTCTCTCCACGGCCCCCCAGAGTCAGGGGAGACCATCCCTGCCTATCGTGCGTGTTAATTCTGAGCAGTGATTAAAATGTCATACCTGCTCTTCAGTATGAGGACTTTAAAACCAGTCCCACCAAGCATCACCGCCCCATCCCCAGGACTGTAGGTTTTACACTCTGTATGTAGCTCCTTTCCAAGGGGATCCACTTGGCCCCAGTGGAAGGACCAGGAAAAAAATAGTTCTGAATCTAGAAGGCAAGTTTTCCTTGGTTCCCAATTCACTCATCTGAATCTGGGAAGAGTGTAATTCTAGGACTATACCAGGCACTCTCCATTCAGAGAATTGTAAAATTATAAAAGTGGGAAGGGTGGGTCTTACAAGCTTTTGCCAACCTAGCTGTGGAGGAGGCAGAGACCCTGAGCTGTTAAGTGACTTGCCCAAGCTCTCTGCAGAAGCATCAGATTACTATTAGATTAGATTACTATTTCCTCATTAAATTTTCTTCCACCCTTTCCATGCCATCTACCTTTCCCAACTCCCACTTTCATCACTGATTCAAGTATAAATACATTACCCTGCCAGGGAATTCTATCCCTCAGTGTCCAGGGAACTGGAGTTTCCACAGATGCTGGTGCATGTGCACTGCTTTGAGACGCCCAACTCTCCTTGCTCAGTCTCACTCATCCACCCTCACCATTCCTTCCCTGTGCCCCAGAGGACTCTTCCATTTGGTGGAAACAACAGCCTAAAAACCTCTCCTAGCCCACAGGAGCCTGTAGCAGGAGTGGATAGGGTCAGGAGCAAAGAGAAAGCAAACTTGGCACCTCCAGGATAGCCGAAGACTGAAATACAACTGACCCTGGTGGACTCGTTTCTCAAAATCTCAACCATTCAGTGAAGGAAGTCACCTGCTTGCTCCTCCAGGCCTCTCTCCTGTAGACCATCAAGAACGGATGGGAGGCTCTTCTTGCCAAATCACCCTCACCTACACTTCCAGATAGATGTGTTTTCATGGGTTAAGCATTGACAGTCTTTGTAACCGTCATGTAAAATGCTTCTTTAAAACTTTGATTCCTCTGAGGAGTAATGTATTCTCAGACATCCTTGATATGTTCATCAATGCAACTGACTCTCTCCCCAGCAACAAAAATGAAGAACAGCAGGAGCTCTCCATCCCACCTTTATCCCAATGCCAACATTGTGTCCCCTGATTCTTGTTTATTGCCCATGGAGGGCCTGGAGTGTCTGGGTAAGGAGGAGGTACGGTAGGACAAAGAAAATGAAAGTGAGTGTGTGCTGAGAACAAGTTTCCCCCACTGAGCAGGTTTGTCCAGGCTCAGCCACCTGCCCTGCAAGCTAGTGTGTGGGAATGATGGCCAGAAAGGGGAAAAGTCCCTTCTGTGCTGTGAGTTAACATTTCTCCCTAAAACTACCTCTCTTTTATTGCTGTCAGTGAATCTCAGTGAGCCATTTCCTCCTGCTTCAGTGACATTCTACAATCCCCCTTTTCTGATGAAAGTTTGAGTTAATTAAATGTGGGAAGTTTGTTTTGTGTTATGTTACAGGGCATTTCATGATGTAAACTGTCTAAGATAAAAGAAACCTTTGAAATCGTTAATCTGGACAGTTTCAGAAAGGATGGCACAACTGCACTGACATCCAATCTTATTTTTCTAAGGTGGGGCTTACTTGTACAGCTTGTAGAAATTTCATTATGTTTATAATTACCCCTTTCACCCTTACACAAAGGTCCCTTGACAATAATTGCATAACCTCCTTGGGTTTCTTGTTCCTGGCTTGACAGCCAAATCTATGGAACTTTAAATTATTGATGCTTTCTAATTTTTAATTATTTTGAGGTTTGTGTAAGCTGAAGCTTTAAGAGATTTGGCAATAATAATACCTCACATTCCGCTATTGAAAATGCCATCTCTGAGGTCACATGTGACCACCTTGTCTGGAAACATGAAGAAGGTATCTTCCCAGTGTCTGTCAGTGGAACCTGCAAGTGACAAAAGACTCAAATCAGCTTAAGCAAAAAGTGGAAAGTCCAGGGGAGGGGGCTTTAGGCATGGTGGGATTCAGGAACTCAGTGTCATGAGAAGCCAGCCTGTCTCCATCTCTCCTTCCTGTTCTTGATGTTGGCTCTGTTCACAGAAGGGCTATTTCTCTGTGTTGTCTAGAAGGCTCCCAGAAGCCCCTTGTTTACACTCCCTAGGAGTCAAGTCCATGAGGAAAGAACAAGCCTCTTGTCTGCTCAACCTAAAAATAAGAAGTCTTGGGATCTGCACTCACTTCGTGGGCATGAGAAGTCAGCTTGGAGCGTGTGCCCATCCCTGTATCATCACTGTGGCTTGAGGATTCCCTGCCTTGATTGGAAGAGTCTAGGTGAGAGCTCAGTCGCAGAGCTACAGGTCCCATTGTTATGGGTGGGTCTTTGTTCTTAGAGCTCCCAAGATGGTGGTGGGCCGCTCCCAAGATGGCGGCAAGCCTTTTGTTCTCTGACCTGGGATTCTTGGCCTCATAGAGTCCAAAGAATGGAACCTTCAGCCATGCAGTGAGTGTTATAGCTCTATTAGAAAACATGGGACACGGAAGAGAACCATGGAACCTAACGACTAGTGTTCCGCTCGATTAGGACAAACCCGGGCACTTAGCCATGCAGGAACAATGGTGAGTCTCCAGCCTGAGCTACGCAGCAATGGGCACCTCGCTGGATCAGGAGCGCAGCGGACACCCTGCTGGATCCGGAGGGGTGGAAGTCAGCGGTGGGTCTGAGATGGCAGCAAACAGCAGTGGTGGACGGTGAGTAAAAGCTCAGGTGGAGCGGTAACAAACACAGACCAGAAGCCTGTGCAGTCAGTTGCAGATTTAATAGCGTGAAAACAGAGCTCCCATACAATAGGAGGGGACCCGAAGGAGGTTGCCGCTCCCTGCTGGAATGCCTGGGGTTATATCCTGATCATTGCCCCGCCCCCTGTGCTCTCAGACGATATATGATTTGACTATTTCTTTACCTCCTGCTTTTAGCCTAATTTGTATTTTAGTGAGCCCTCTTTACTACCTGACTGGTCGGGTGTGAGCTAAGATACAAGCCCTGTGTTTAAAGGTAGGTGCGATCACCTTCCCCAACTAGGCTGAGGAATTTTTAGTCAGCCTAGGAAATCCAGCTAGTCCTGTGTCTCGTCATCAGTTTCTCCAAAACAAGTGTTCTGAGACTTCAGGCAGAGGATTTCCCACCACAGAAATGCCAGTGACTATTAACAGAATAAGGATGAGAATACATGTCTGGTCAGCAGATGTCCACCCCACCTCCCCACAACCTTTCATAACCCTTCTGCAAGATTCCATCCTGTTGCCCTTCTTAAAATTCTGCATTCCTGTCTTCCATCACATAGACCTGTGGTCTCCCTTCTCTCTGACCACTCTGTCTCTTCTTCCTCCTCCTCCCCTATAAGCAAAGGGATGGTCCAGGATTCAGTGTAAGCCTATCCCTCGTAGCTTAATCACAGGGAGTGCATTCCTTCATCCTCTCTGTGCCTTTACACACTGTGTTCACTCTACCTGGAGTACCATGTCCTCTTTCCACCACTCATCTCTGCGTGTTCACATTCTCTGTATCCTAGTTCAAATATCTCTTCACAAATCTTCCATATCTGATTTCTTTAAGCCAGAAATAAACTCACTCTTTCCTCTAAATTCTTATCTTTATCCCTTCTCAAATATATAATGTTCTGCTTTATATATTGAAATATGTATGTGTGTCACTGTTGGCTGTTGGCTACTTGAGGGTGGAAATGTGGTTTATCTTTCTTACTTAGCCCTCTAACCAATCCCCCTAGTCAGCTTTGTAGTCCTTACAAAACCAATATTTAAGTGAATTTGCATGGTGCTTCCCACTTTATTAAGGTGTATTCACAGCCATCATCATATTTGCTTCTCAAAGCAAATCTGGAAGGCAAGAACAAGTATTACTCAGTTTTATATATGAGAAAACTGAGGAACCAAGAGAATAAAAGATTTAACTGAAGATCTCTAAACTGGTTTTGTGGAAAAGCTGGGAGTAGAAATCGAAATCTTTAGAGTTACAGTACCAGTTATTTTCCAAGAAACACTTGCTGATATGTGTTGTATCATTAAAATGTGGAGAATAGTTGGCACCAAGTCGTTTTATTTCAAATAGATTAAATATTTTACTCTGATCTTTCCCTGTGTCTGCCAATTACTGGGATTATATGATAATTTGCTCCTGGCTTAAGAACGTTTAAAAGGAAACCCAGATCGAGTGGCTCTGTTCTGGCTTGGGTGTGTTTGGGTATTTTTGTTGCTACTTCTGGTGATGGTTCTTGCTTTCCTTCTCCCTCTGGATCTGTCTTTTGGTACAAACACACCCCCAACCAAGGGAAGAATGAGGTGGATTTCTTTCCCTCAGGCGCCTAATCTTACGATGAAAAACGCATGTCCCTTTCTCTTAAAACTCCAAGATCTTTCCCTTCCAATGACTCCGAAGCCTGGGTGGATACCTCGACTCAGGGCGCAGAACACTTGGGATCTGAGTGTGAAAGGACCATGCGGACCTTTTCAATCCCGGCCTTTGGGCTCCAGCCCAGCCTTCCCGGGGGAGGAGCCGCATGTGCGGCCAGGTCATAAATCCGCCAGGCCGCCGTCCTCCGGATTTGCGGCCCGAGCCAGAGCTCGGGGGCTGTCGGTGAGAACTTTGCAGGAGGGCACCCCCAGCCCGGCCAGCCCAGCCCAGCCCCTGCGCGCATCCCGGGCCGGGTAGGACCCGGCGCGTCCCTTGCCATGGCGGCGCCCTCGCGGCTCCTGATCCGCGGGGGTCGCGTGGTCAACGACGACTTCTCCGAGGTGGCCGACGTGCTGGTGGAGGACGGCGTGGTGCGGGCGCTTGGGCACGATCTGCTGCCTCCCGGGGGCGCTCCTGTGGGGCTGCGGGTCCTCGACGCCGCCGGCAAGCTCGTCTTGCCCGGAGGCATCGACACACACACGCACATGGAGTTCCCCTTCATGGGCTCGCGGTCCATCGACGACTTCCACCAGGGCACCAAGGTACCCGCCCCGCCGCGACCCCGCCCCGCGGTACCCACGGAGCCTCAGGCAGCCTCTCCAGCCGTCCCGGGGTCCCCAGCAGGGCCACCTCGCGCAGCGCGGTGCCGAGGGGCTGGGTGGGCGGGAAGGAGCGCGGCCCCGGCGGGTGTCAGAGGGGACTCAGATTCTCTTCGCTGGGGTCCCTTGCAGGCGCCCCTTCTGGGCAGCAGCCCAGCAGCCTTGGCTCAACCAGACGCCCTCGACTCCTCCCTTTGGTTAATTTGATGAGTTTAAGGCCATCCCCTTAACCTCATTTCTCTATACCGCTTACTCCCCAAATCCCCCCGCCACCCCATTTTGATTGGTGTTCTGTGGCAGTCGGAAATCTTCCATACCTTCTTTAGAATCTTTTTTTAAAGTAGGCAGTCCCAGTCATTTCTTCCAACCATTTCGACCCATCCTTTATCCCCAGCCAAAACCAAATGAAAAATCCATTCACCTGGGAGTTACAGCCTTGACTCAAAGTGAGCAGTGTAGCGGGTGATGTATCTGAGTGGGCTAGATGCCCACCGTGTTCACGTTCCCGTCCCCTACCCTCTGCCCCCACTCCCACCCCCAGTAGAAAAAAATATAGCCCCGACCAGGGTTTAGAAGAAAAAGTATTCCGGAAACGACCTCGCAGCACTCACACACACCAACGCAGCCTCACAGGCTCTTTTCTCCATCCCACTTGTTCTGGGGACACAGCATTCTTGCTGCTGAAGTACCCATAGTTTTACTGATGTTGCAGGAGGGCAGTCAGATCACCACTCCCCAGGTGGAGGTAGGCTTGGGTTTCTCTAGATACAAAGGCCTAGAAGTTTGGGTCAATGAAAGGAAACTTACCAACCTTGTCCAACCTGCAGGCGGCACGCAGCCCAGGATGGCTTTGAATGTGGCCCAACACAAATTCATAAACTTTCTTAAAACATTATGAGATTTTTTTTCTTTTGCAATTTTTTTTCTTAGTTCATCAGCTGTCGTTAGTGTTAATATATTTTGTGTGTGGCCCAAGACAAGGGAAGCCAAAGATTGGACACCCCTGCAACATTTCCGCAAACCTCCTCAATGCAAGATCGAGAGACTAACAGAGCAGCTTTACAGGAACATAGAGTGAAAATTCTATTCTCAGCACTTGGGCTAAAGTAAAGCCCACACCCTCCTTGAGTCCTGTGTTTTGAGCTGCCTTGGGAGAAATGGCTCCTTCCAAAGTGAAGGTGTATTGATACACTAAAGGCCTTGGCTTTTCACTTGGACCACACATTGATGTGTGAAACAAGTTGGGCTATTAAGTCCAGTGTATAGTAGGCTTCCTTCCTTCCTCGCTCCCTCTCTCCATCGCTCCCTCCCTTCCTTCTCCCCCCCACCCCCTCAATCCCTCTCTGTCTTTCTCTTCCCATGTTACTATGGACAGGCTGACGGTCTTTCAAAGCAGTTTTGGTGATAGCTACTTCATTCATATACTGATTTCTGACAGTTTTGCTCTCCTTACACTTCCCCCTCTCCAAGTTCCCCAATCCTCTATGATTGACAGGAATGTTTAACAGAAAAAAAGGAAGGCAGGTAGATTTGACCCAGAGAGAAGGATCTGGGCAAGCTGCTCAAATCGCCATTTGGAAAGCTTCTCCCTGATTACTAATTATCAACCTTTATCATTATGTCAATAAAGTCTTTTGTAGAACAGATCATTGTCTGCTTTAAAAATTGGCAAACTTTGTTTTGTGTATTCATTTTCCCTTTTGCTAAAAAGTAATATGCACTAAATTTGAATGAACTTATTTTTACATTTTAATGAATTTTTTAGCTATCAAAACAATATGTGATTATAGGAAACAATTGGAAAAATAATAGGAAAGTAAAAAGAAGAAAAACATTAATAATACTCTCCCTCTCAGTGACAGCCAATGTTTTGGTGCATTGCCTTTACATGTTTTAATATGCTCTATTTTACATAATTGAGATCATATTGTTCATGTGTCTGTGTGTGTACACCTGTATTTAAAATGTCAGAACTTGCAGTCATAGCGCAAGCCCTTTCTGTTGTCATAGACTTATCATTAACGAAGTCCTTTGCTGATGGCAGGGCATCCCATTGAACACTCCCATCTGCAAGGTGGGGAGCTGCTATTTCTGACCACTAGCATCATTCTCCCTCTTATAGCTGAGCAGTAACTTTCATTCTCTTTCTGCCGTCCAGATGAAGCAGCAAATAAGAGAACTGGAATGCTGTGGGCAGGGGGCATTCCCTCTCTTTCTCAAGATTATCTTTGCATGCTCCAAGATCCTGGAAAGTGGGGTCTTCCTGGTCTTCTATCTGTTCCTTAGCCATTCTGGGATTCTCTAGTTTAGAGAGATTTACAATTCTTAACTGAGAATGTAGGTCCTTATGGGGTATAGTATGTTGTTGTCAACATCTCAAAGGATTTATCCACCAGCCGATCCTCTAAGCATTTCTGTACTTAAAAGTTGTGAAAACATTAAACAAAAACATGTTCTTCGTGAGTTTAGGATCTTAAGCAGAAAACGATATGGTCAGAGATACTAAGGTCAAAGGTTTAGCAAATACCAAATTCCTGTTGAATATTAAACAGTACTCACAAAGGGGCTGTGTTGCAATAGTCTACTTCAGAGTCAGTTGGTAGGATCCCAAAAGGTAACCACTGCCACCCCCAGAAACAACTGAGGCTTCATAAAGTGAACCAGATGGGGAAGTATAGATAAACATGAACATTACAGTATTGGCCTGAATTCTGGAAGAAGGGCATTATAGAGTTATTCTGTCTTCTTTCCTGGCCTTCACAATAATCCCCAAAGCAACGTTGGTGGGTGTTTGTTTTGGGGAGCTAGAGACAAAGATAGGCCTTTTGTAAATACTGGTTGTATGATATGTTAAACTTGAAAAACATCTTCTTATTTATACCTTTAAGTACCATCTATTTTATCAAGCGCATACCAGGCAATGTCATAAATTATGCGTTATCTTCCAAAAATCCCAGATGTCATTGTCTACTTTTTTACAATTGAGGAAACTGAAGCCTAAGTTACTTGCCTAAGGTCTAAGGTTGTACACCTAGGGCTGTAACTGATCGAGTGACTCTTCAAATTCAGTACTGCCTGACCCATCGCTAAAGCTGTTACCTATTAATGTCTGTTCTTTTGAAAAAACATCTAATGTTCAGATTTGTCAGGGTGGCAAGTGATAGATGACAAAGCCGCATAAGTTGCATGTTAATGCGAAGCATCTTTTCTCGAAAATAGAGCAGAGTCATCCATAGAAAAGACAGTAGCTCTTCACTTTCCTAAAGCTAGAGGCAGTTAAGGTTATCAAAATAAATATACACTGCAGGTATTCGGTTTATAAGGCATTTGTATAATACATGCATTTATAGCCACATCATCTGTAAGGCTGCAGAAATGGACCTTAAGTACAGAAAAAACATAAAGTAAAAATGATATATTATGCTTTCAGGAGATGGGCCCCTAAAGGTTAGACCAATAGCTGTTTGCATTCTACATCCAGCAGGCTGATCATTTATAATACCTGACAAATAGAAAAGGATATTATTTCTGGTACTCTATTTATCGATCACTAGATTGTGATGGGACTCAATTTTAAAAACGAATATACATTAACTAAAGGTTATTTATTTCGTAAATCTAATTCATGTCAGAGATTGGTTTAAAGCCTGTAATTGATTAGCTTAATTACAGGTAAAAGCTTTCTGAAGTAACTAATGGAAATAATGTTCTGCTTTAAAGAAATCGTATTTCATTTTGTTGGTCTATACCAGATGTACAGTGGTCTTCAGATAATTCAATATCTATGAGGAAGGACAATGGAATTTTTTATTCAATAGGTAGTATGAATTCAATAAATTTGAAAGAATTGTGACTTTGCTTTTATTACATTCTGTGATAAGAGAATGAAGTATAAGAGTTTGGCAAGTTTTCAAATAGACATAAATTTATATTCAGAGGTGTATGCAGGTCGGAGTGGGTGGAGTTGCATTAAAAACCCAGTAGTGTCAGCAGCTGGCAGGAGGAACATGTTTTTAAATATTGGGAAACCGTGCAACACACTTCTCTTTTTCTCTTTTCTTTTTTCTTTATTGTAAAGGACAAAAAGTTCTCAAAATTATTGAGAAAGGAAATTACATTATTTTGCTTTGAAACTTTTTGGTAAAATGCCATTGTGGTGATTACTTACAAGGCAGTGTAAGGCATGTGATTAAGCACACCACGCATTTACAGTTGTATTTATAGAGCTTCTGCAACTTATGGAAGAGCTGTGCTTCAAAAACCTTGGTTGCAAATCAAATCCCCTTTTCTATAGCTTTCCAGAGCTCCAGGCTGGGCTTCAGGAGCTGTATGGGCTGATTTTGTGACCTTGGGCAAGTAACTTCCTCTCTCAGGATTGTCAGCATTTTCTTATCTGTGAAATGAGGCATTGGTTAGATGAGCAATTCAAAAAGAGTTTCTTAAGTTATAAAAACAATATGTACTTATCATCCAGACCTTAAGAAAATGCTGGCACATTGTAGTCACTCAATATGCATTAGTTAAATGAATTAACTGCTTTTTTAAAAAAGAAAAATGCAGACGAATATAAAGAAAAATAATATTTAAATCACCTATAATTTTAACATTTGGCTCCCTATCCTTCTAGATATTTCTTTTTTGGGGGGGACATATAAACAAACATTTGTTTCCTTCTACCAAATTGGGCATACTGATTGGAGTCAGCCTTGTTCATTAAACATTTCCCCCGTCCTTAAATACCACTGGATAATGTGATTTTGTGGCCGCATTATCCTCTCTGAGGCTGAGTCTCAGATCTCTCTCTCCAGCCTCCATATTCCTTAAGCATCAGGCCTCAATATCTGCCTGTCTCTAGATATCACAACCTGGATATCCCAGAAGCACCTCAAAACTCAGCATGTTCCAAACCAAACATGACCTCTCCTCCAAGTTTTAAACTCATTTTTCTTCCTGTTTCCCCAAACTTTGATGGTTCAGCTCTCATCTTCTCCATGATGAACATTTTGGTGATCTCCAGTTTTTTTCCACTATATCGCAGTGCTGTGACAGACATCCTTATATGTAAATTATTGTTCACATTCTTGATGATTGCCTCAGAAATCATCCCTTAGAGTAAAATGCCTGGGCCAATGAGTATTAGACACATCTTAAAGGAGTTTAGTACATTCGTTCAAACTGCTCTTCAGTGTATATGCCCATTATCATCCCCATTTCACTGCATTCTGGTCGATATTGGATAATGACATTATTTTATTCTATTCTATTCTATTCTATTCTATTCTATTTTATTGAGACGGGGTCTCATTCTCTCACCCGGGCTGGAATGCAGTGGTGCAATCTCAGCTCACAGCAGCCTCAATCTCCCAGGCTCAAGCAATCCTCCCACTTCAACCTCCCGGGTAGCTGGGACTGTAGGTGCATGCCACCATGCCCAGCTAATGTATTATTTTTTTTTTTTTTGTAGAGACAGGGTCTCACTATGTTGCCCAGGCTGATCTCAAACTCCTGAGCTCAAGTGATCTACTCACCTCAGCCTCCTGAAGTGCTGGAATTAACAGGTGTGAGCCACTGTGCCCAGCCTGGATAATGACTTTTAAAAAAATCTTTGTTAATTTCAGAGGAAAAACATAGCACTCCTTACTGTCTTTAAAAGATCATCTCTTTAATAACTGGTAAGGCTGAGCTTTGAACCATTGTGTTGTATTAGTAGTTCAGATGCTCCAGCTTTGAGGGTTTGTAATTCCGTGGTTTCCTTGAATGGCTATTTAATGATTACAAACTTAACCTTCAGACTAATCAGAAGAAGCACAAAAAAATCTCGAAGATTAACTGAAACCACTTGACGCTAACTAAAGTTTTGGTTCTGTTAAGGGTGTTGTGTGTTAGGAATCCTTTCACTGAACTTAGATTCCACAACTTGCCTTCTTTCAGCTTTGATATTCCATTGGCATGCTATTCACCTCCACCCCTTGTTTTCTCTCTCACATGTCTGGTCTGGGTGTTTTCAATGTCTGTATTAGTCTGTTCTCACACTGCTATAAAGAACTATTTGAGACAGGGTAATATTTAAAGAAAAGAGGTTCAATTGACTCACAGTTTCACAGGATGTACAGGAGGCATGACCGGAGAGGCCTCTGGAAGCTCAAGAGAACTCACTCATGAGATCAACAAGAGGGAAATATGCCCCCATGATTCAATCACCTCCCACATGGTCCCTCCCCCAACATTAGGGATTATAATTCAACATGAGATTTGGTTGGGGACACAGAGCCAGACGATACCAATGTCTGAGAGAGGTAGTCTAGAAATCAAGGTTTCCATGACGCTTCTGTCAGGGAGGAAAATCTTTTCCTTGACGCTCTTATGTTTAGTAATTGGGGGCCTGCAAATTAAACTGACAAAAGAGAGATTCACAAAAGAAAAGACTAATTAAAAAAATTCACATGCATATGTAGGAATTCACAGAAAAATGTGACTCAAGGAGGGGGCTAGATTTGGGGGATTATACACCATCTTTTTTTTTTTGAGACAGAGTCTCACTCTGTCACCCAGGCTGGAGTGCAGTGGTGCAGTCTCAGCTCACTGCAACCTCCGCCTCCCAGGTTCATGCCATTCTCCTGCCTCAGCCTCCCGAGTAGCTAGGACTACAGGCACCCGCCACCACGCCTGGGTAATTTTTTTGTATTTTTAGTAGAGATGGGGTTTCACCGTGTTAGCCAGGATGGTCTTGATCTCCTGACCTTGTGATCTGCCCACCTCGGCCTCCCAAAGTGTTGGGATAACAGGTGTGAGCCACTGCACCTGGACAAAATATGACTCAAAGAGGAGGCTAGATTTTGGGGGTTTTACACCATCTTAACAGAATAAGGGAAGGCGGAGCAGGCACTTGCAAAAAAACAAACAACTTCTTAATAGGGGACGGTCACGGGGAGAAAAGACACATAGGGAAACAAATGACTTTTAGAAAAGATAAATAGGCCCTTAGAAGGAGATATGGGACATATGATAGTTTTGTGACAATGTCTATTTAGGTATGGTGTCAGCTTCCAAGTCTCTAGTGATAAGTCAATCGTCTCTGGTATGAAACCCCTGGAGAGGGAATCTATGATAATTGAGGTCTTTGGGGAGGCTTTGCTTTATAGCAGATTTGGGACTTAAGGAAAACAAACAAAAAACAACACCTATTCTCAAATATCTGGAGCTCAAAATAATCTTTATGCTACAGTGGCATATTCTAGAGCCTCAACTGCCATCTACTATGGAATAATCCCAAACTAAGGATTTTTCAAGTTGGCTGTTAGGTTCCATTAATTTAGTCAACAGGTATTTCTTGGAAACCCACTAAGTGCCAGGTATTGTGGCTGGTGCAGAGGTTATAGAGATGAAAACCATGGTATTCGTTCTCAGTGGTAAACAGACTAGAGGCATATGGGTCTCTAATCTGTCTGGACTTTGATAATAAATTTTATATAGTAAGTTTGAGCTTTATAGACTGTGCTTTGATGATTGTGACAATTTTTTAGTAAACATGTGAGGTCAGTGACATCTGGCATTTTCCCCTTTGCTGAGTCATCAGTCACAGTGGCCTGCATCACCTGGTTGTGTTTCTGAGCTGCTTACTTGGCTGACAAGTGAGCCTGGGCAACTGCCCAGTATCTATGCCTCAACACTGCTTTGTGCTTTCTTCTCACATGTCAAGTAACAAGTTGAGAAAGGACACTTCAATTTTTCTGTTATGTTTCATTGCACCTAACAGGGAAACTGCATTATATAGTGATAGTCATGGATGAGTTCCTGAGCCTGAGGATCTGTTTTTCACACATGAAAGCAAAGACCTTAAAATTCACCTGAAAGTAAAACAAAATGTAATCTTTTTTAGAAGTCAAGAAGTTATTTGAGGCATAGATACAGAAATAAATTAAAATTGTGTTTGTTAAAAGTCCTAGTTAACACTGATTTGGTAACGAACTTTGGAAAACCTGAGCATTCAGCCTTCAGATGTGGTCTGCATTGACATTCCATATTAATATTTTCATAGAAGGATCTAGGAAACTCCAGGACCAGGACTAGCAATATTTTTGGGAAATGACATTTCACACTAACACGCAACTTACACAGGTTTCCCAGTTTGCTATTGGAAAAGTGAACCATCATAATTATTCCATCTCTTAACTTTTGGGGAAATTCACTGGTCCTTCTCTTCCTTTCCCCTTCAAACATTTAGAGAATATTCATGTGCCAGGTACTGTAATGGGCACAGAACATACAGAGATGAAACAACATTGATTAAATCAGAATCTCTGGGGAATGGAGTAAATGCTTTCTGTATTATTCCAGCATGATCCAGGGTTAAGAATTGCTTGGACTCAGCACAGGAATGGGTAGAGGAGGGAAGAACATGAATGATGTCTCTCTCTGAAATGGGAAAGAACTCAGGTCTCCTAAGAGAGGCAGGGACAGAGTCAGTGGAGTGGAGTGAATGAGTTGAGAGGGAACAACTCAATAGAGAGCTTTGGAGAAAGCTAAAGTTCAGGTCATGCAGGATCTTATGGGTTGAGCAACAATTGCTTTTTCTCCATCTTCAGAGCAAAGAGAACTCAGTAAAAGACGGGAAGTGGCAGATATGGCTGGGCAGACATATAGTAGGTATACCTCCTCCCTTGGAGTTGTGTTCATGTTGTTGCTCTGAGGATTTTCTGGGGACTGAACTCTGGTTGCTCACAGTGGTAATCTACTCATTAACACACCCTCTTTATGGCCCTCTTCCTTTCTGTTTTCCCTCCCTTCTCCTTTCTTCACTGTGCTAGCCCTGTGGGAAGATGATGGTGGCACCAGGCAGTAGAGGTGAAGATGCAGGAGTGGAGAGGCTCCTGGAGTTCATAGGAGACAGCCTCCAGGGTCTTGTTGATAGATTGGATTTGGGGATACAGGGAAGAAAAGTGGGTGTCAAGCGTAACTCTTAAGTTTCTGGTGGGATGGATGATAGTGTGGTTAATATTCCAAACTTACGGAGGCAAGAAGCCAAGCGTGGACAGGAATGTGCAAGACATCTTTACAAAGCTGAGTGTGCTTCTGGATTTCGGACAGACGTTGGGATCATGAAACTTGTTTTCATAGGTTTCAATGATTGTGAGAGAGTTAGAAATTCAGCCACGAACTTTTCTCCCTAAGGCTCAAACGTACTGTTGGGTTTCTTTTTGTTTTACTTGGGTAGTGCGGGTTCTGTGATGGATTTTAGTGAAACAAAGTCACTTGTTTTAGGATAAGCTTAGAAATAAAAATTTGGTGGCACCATAAAAGGGGAGAAAATGCATTTGAATACAGTAGTGTACCCTGAATCACAGTTTCAATTTCTGCAGTTACTTGAGGTCAACTATAGTCCAAAAATCTTAAGCAGAAAATTCCAGAAATAAACAATCATGAGTTTTAAATTGTACAACATCCTGAGTAGTGTGATGAAATCTCAAGACATCCTGCTCCATCCTACCTGGGACTGGGACGTGAGTCCTCCCTTTGTCCAGTGCATCATGCTGTAGATGCTCTCTGCCCATCACTCACTTAGTAGTTGGCTCAGTTATCAGGTCAACTGTCACAGTATTGCAGTGCTTGTGGCCACCCACAAGTCACCCTTATTTTACTTCATAATGGCCCCAAAGTGCAAGAGCAATGCTGGTTATTTGTTCTATTTTTTATTAGTTATTGCTGTTAATCTCTTACTGTGCCCAATGATAAATTAAACTTTATCATAGGTATGTACATATAGGAAAAAACATAGCATATGTAGGGTTCAATACTATCCTCAGTTTCAGGCATCCACTGGGGGTCTTGGAATGTATCCCTCTTGGATAAGAGATAACTACTGTACTTTCAGTAATAATTTACGATGGAATATTCTTAAACAAAATCTTGTGTAACATTATGACCCACTGTTAGAGTTTATCTCAATTTCTGTTCCACTGCATTTCTTCTGGAAGCAGCATGGGCTCCCCTGTCCCCTAAAAGAGTTTTTTAAATAAATTGGAAGGTTTACAAGGAAGAACAGCAAAAGTAATTAGGAGCTGAAATAATTGATTTGTGAGCCAAGATTAGAAAAGCTAAATCCATTTTGTTTGGCTAACTGACAAATAAAAATGGAAAGAAGTCAATTAGGAATAAAAGCAAAGGAAATAACTAGGCTTCATGTAGCTATTTGAGAGAAATTCAGCCCCAGCCATCCTTTCCGATTCAATACAGCTTCTCCAAACTCATTCCCAGTCTGGGGTTGAGAAGAAGGAGATAAAAATGGGGATAAGAAACAGAACAAGAAGCAGCAAAAGATAAGTGGCTGTTCCTCTCCTCTCTCTTTCCTGCTCCTAGTTAATTAGAAAGGTGGAACATTTGTGATCAACCCTCATTTAAGAGCTTTCAAACTGTAGCCCCAAGAATTTTCATTTGCTTTAGTGTTAGAAGAGTGGCCCTTTGACTATCATATCTTCAATCTGGTAAGAAGACCATCAACAGCTCTGTCTATTTAATTTATACACCATATATGGTCATGTGTCACTTAATAGCTGGAATACATTCTGAGAAATATGCCATTAGGCAAATGTGTGGTTGTGAGACCATCATAGAGTGTACTTACACAAACCTAGATGGTAGAGCCTACTACACACCTAGGCTATATGCTATGACCTGTGGCTTATAGGCTACAAACCTGTTCAGTAGTTACTCTACTGAATACCATAGGCAATCACAATAATAAATGTGTATTTAAACATTGCTAAACATAAAAAAGGTACAGTAGAAATATGGTACTGTGATCTTATGAGGCCACCATCATATATGTGGTCCTGTCATTGATCAAAACACCATTATGGTACATGACTGTACATATATATGCCTTGTGTCATATATTTATATGTAAGATATTTGTTTTTCATATAAAAATTCTGATTTTAATAGAAAGTTTAGAAAATATTGAAAATAAATTTTAAGTAGGGGAAAATTTAAATGGCCTGGAATTATACCACCCAGAACCAGCCACTGTAAACATTTTATCTTGGCTCAGTGTGGTTTTGTGTTCGTGCTGAGTATTGGTATGTTCCGAAGCATGTTATTGTGGCTCATGTTGTCATGTCTGGCTTCTGTCTCCCTGACCATTCCGGCCAATCTCGGGACCCCTGTGGCATCTTCTACCAGGTCACTCCTACATTTTCTCCTAGTCTTGTATGCTCTTTGGAAACAGGTCTGTATGTCTTCCTGTCTGCAAATGCCACCAGGTGGACACGTCCCCAGGCACCTCACTCTCAGAATGTTCCACACTTCATTCACATCCCTCCTAAGTGCAGATCATGCTCCTCCTCCTCTGTCCACTTGCCTGCCATCTTCTCACTCATCCTAGTCAAATCGCCTGACCTGACTCCCTTCACAACTAAAAACAGTCATTGCCCTGTCTTTCTCCTCTGGGACCACCACTTTATATGGTCCCCAGTCACCTTAATTCTGCCCTTTAACACTTTCTGCTGAGCTGCTACCTCTTCCCCCCAGATCTTCTTCCTCAGAGCCCCTCCTCATGCAGTTCACATTTCCTGGAGGCTCAGGCTCTAGGGCCTGATGACTCAGGTTCCAACCCTGCCATTGTTCCTTGCTGGCTATGAGACTTTGGCCAGGTTATTGATGGTTCTGTATTCAGTTTATTTTTTCTTTATTTTACTTTAAGTTCTGGGATACATGTGTATAATGTGCAGGTTTGTTACATAAGTATACATGTGCCATGGTGGTTTGCTGCACCCATCAACCCGTCATCTAGGTTTTCTGCATTCAGTTTTCACCACTCTAAAATGGAGTTAACCATAGCACCTACTGTAGAGCTCTTGAGATGGTTAAAATATGCAAAACATTGGAGTAGTTCCTAGAGCATCATGGTGCACAAAAACAGCATCACAACACTTGCTGTGAGTCAGATATTATTACACTTAATTGGAAACTTCCACGTGTATGTCCTAATCCTGATTGAAATCCAAGCCATCTCTGATCTGAGTTGATCTTTCTCTCCTCTGAATTCCCAGTCATCTTTTCTCTGTACCCCTTCTAGGGAGCTTAGCGAATTTTACCTCCCTTTAGCGATTTTTATACTACTGTTTATACTACTGTTTATTATAAAAGTAGACTTGCTACCTGTTATTACAATTTTTCTGCTTCTCCTATAAACACCCTGAGGGCAGAATCATTGCCTAATTATTTGTGTAATCTACCACTTCCTTTGCTACATATAATGGCTTGGATGTGTAGACCTTTTCTGGTTTTATGGAGATAGAATCCACCTACAATACAATTCGGCCATTTAAAGCGTATAGGACAATGGCTTTTAGTGTATTCACAGAGTTGTGCAAGCATCACCATAATCAATTGTAGAATACCTTTTGGTTTGTTTGTTTGTTTTGAGATGGGAGTTTTGCTCTTGTCACCCAGGCTGGAGTGCAGTGGCACTTTCTCGGCTCACTGCAACCTCTGCCTCCCAGGTTCAAGCAATTTTCCTGCCTCAGCCTCCCTACTAGCTGGGATTATAGGCACCCACCACCATGCCCAGCTAATTTTTGTATTTTTAGTAGAGATGGGGTTTCACCATGTTGGCCAGGCTTGTCTCGAACTCCTGACCTCAGGTGATCAACTCCTGGCCTCAGCCTCCCAAAGTGCTGGGATTACAGGCGTGAGCCACCGTGCCTGGCCAGAACACTTTTGATACTCCCAAAAGAAACACCATACCCTTTAGCTATCACCTTGGACTCTCCTCATTCCACCCAGTCCCAGACAACCACTGTTCCACTTGCTCTAATGGATTTGCCTCTTCTGGACATTTCATATAAGTAGAATCACACAATATATAATCTTTGTGACTGGCTTCTTTCACTTAGCATCATATTTTCAAACTTCACCCATGTCATAGTGTATGTCAGTACTTCATTTTCTTTTATGGTAAAATACTATCCCATTGTATGACTATATTAGATTTTATTTATCCATTCATGAGTCGATGGATATTGTATTGTTTTGCTTGTATATTTTCTACTTTTTGGCTATCATGGATCATGCTGCTGTGAATATTTGTGTGCAAGTTTTTATGAGAACATGTTTTCATTTCTCTTGGCTATAGGCCTAGGAGTGGAATTGCTTGGTCCTGTGGTAACTCTATCTTTAACTGTGAGAGGAGCTCCAAACTGTTTTCCAAAGTGGCTGTACCATTTTACGTTCCCACCAGCTGTTTATCTAGTTTCTCCACATCCTGTGTATGGTAGATTTTAATAGGGAAAGAATAGAAAGAATAGTTCTTTAAGCTTCATTTTCTAGTTCAGTAGATGCTAAAAGAGGACTTTCTTCTAACGCTTTAATTAACAGCAGACTCTATTAGAAAAATGTCCTTCATCCTCAAGGGATGTCTTGTCATACTGGGAAGACACTTTAAGAAGGAAGAAGGTAAGAAGATTAATCTGTATTCAAATAAAAATACAAAGCCTGAGGATTTTTTTTTCCTAGTATTTTCATTACATCAATAGGGTTTTCTTAAGAAATGCAAATATGTATGATTTTGCCACAGATAAGGCAGTGTTATTTAAAGGTGGAGACAATGTACCAGATCCTGTACGAAAAGTGAAATTTTGAGAGCAAAAAGAATTGGAGTGGGGTCAAGTAACTTAAGGAAAAATAAAAATCTATTGAAGTAAGCAAGAAAAGTGTGGGTAGAATAGAGTTGGCATATCAGGTAGGACATGGGGGCATCCGGTATGTCTGGAGGCCACTGGGGGAGGGTGGCGGGGGCTGGAAAGAGAGGCAGAGGCACTGCCCCTTCCTGTGTTATAACATGACCACATTTCTGGTGATGAGATAACACGATATAGTCAAGATGGAAAAATTCCTAATCCTGAAATAGTAGTGCTCAATTCATAAAGCACTTACCATGAATCAAACTCTGTACTAAGCACTTTATTTTTATTTATTTGTTTATTTTTGAGACAGGGTCTCTCTCTGCTGCCCAGGCTTGCATGCAGTGGTACAATCACAGCTCACTGCATCCTCGAACTCCCAGGCTCAAGTGATCCTTTCATCTCAGTCTACCAAGTAGCTAGGACTGCAGGCATGTGTCACTAAGCCTGGCTAATTTCTCAATTTTGTAGAGATGGGGTTTTCACCGTGTTGCCCAGGCTAGTCTTGAACTCCTGGGCTCAAGCTCTCCTCCCACCTCAGCCTCCTAGAGCGCTGAGATTACAGGCATGAGCCAAGGCGCCTGGACCTAAGCATTCTGTATACATTACCTCAGTTTAATCCTCCTATCAAGCCTGTGGTTTAGGTACAATTGTCCTCACTTTGCAGATGGCGAATTAAAGGCACACGGAGGTTAAGAAATTGCTCAGATGACCACAGCGAATAAGTGTTGATGCTGAGCTTTGTGCCCTGGTGCCCGTGAGCCTCCCAGGTCCATGGTCTAAGCCACTGTGCCAGCATCCCTCCTGTCTATGTTTTCTTCACCTACAGTGTCTGAATACAACAATTAAAAACAATGAACCATCTTGTGATTTTAGCTTAATTGAAATCAATGTAAATAATTTGTCAAAGGCATGTGATTTAGTAACAGTTTTAAAATTAGCAGTGATGTAATGTAATATAATGTGCTAAGGGGTATATTGCAAGTTGAGGCAGAATGCGGGGATTTATAGACCATGTTATGAAGATTACAGTTTGTGCAGAGGCAGGGAGAAGCACTCAGTTTTCATCTTTGGAATCCAGTGATCACATTTGTGCTTTGGAAATATCTCTCTCGTTGCAATGAGGGGTTTGTATTGGAGGGAATGGGAGATGAAGATCAATCAGGACTCTTACAATAGTTAAGGTGAGGAATGAGAAGGATCTGAACTAAGACCAGGGTGGTAGCAGTGGACAGAGGGACAGGTGCAAATCTAAGATAAAGGGGTCACCAGTTGGTTTCTGGGAATGGAGGCAAGACCGGAACCATGTAAGTCTCCCAGGATTCTGAGAGGACCACAGGACAGTTAGAGATACAGTTCATCAGGATGGATTCTAATAAAATGGAATTTTATAATAATGAATATCGCTTCTCAAGAACAAAAATGTGTGCATTTTTTCCACTTTTCCATTTTGATTTTTCTTTACAATCCTCACTCTGTTTTCTTTGAGTCAAAGCCATTTTCGTCTTATCAGATATGACATTCTTTTTGCAGAAGCAATTCCAGCAGGTTTAATAGTTTAAACTTAATTTATGAAAAGTCTATTCATGCCCTTCTGGGTCATTTAAACAGGCAGCATCTTTTTGCAATTTCCTGGACCCATGGAGTTTGCCCAAGTGCTTACAAATGCACATTGTTCAAGATGATAAATGACTTAACTAGGAAATTGATAGCTAATTTGTTGAAAACCTCTTATGATTCCAGGCTGCTCTCGCAGGAGGCACCACCATGATTATTGATTTCGCCATTCCTCAGAAAGGTGGCTCCCTCATTGAGGCCTTCGAGACCTGGCGAAGCTGGGCTGATCCCAAAGTTTGCTGTGACTACAGCCTTCACGTGGCAGTGACGTGGTGGAGTGACCAGGTAAATCACCTGAATTTCAATGTGTTCCCATTGTCCTCTTGTCCTCACTCTGCACAAGAGCAAGAAACTGGTGATGTTGATTGCTTCCGAGATAACTGGAGGACAGAATTGGCAGGAAGACTTTTCATTGCATATTCTTTTGTATCTTTTGAATTTTTAATTCTGCAAAGTATTATCAATTTTAAAAACTAAATTAAAAAATCATATAAAGACAATAGGATAAATCTTTTACACTCATTCATAACAGCTTCTCTTAATATTTAATTGATGAATCATCAATGCTTTAAGTGTAGTGTTTAATATACTGATTTCTCTTTTTCTTAAATTCAATATCCCCAGAATCTTTTAAACAGTATTTTCCCACAGGTTAGAACTTCAATAAAAAATGTTTAATTTCTCAAAAAAAAATCAAGGAAATTCTAAATTTAGAATTCTCTAGAACTAGAAGCCTGCCTTCCCACTCATGAGCCTTCTTTAGAGAGGAAGGGACAGACCTGGACTGTTTCCAGAGTCTTCTCCTAGCAGTATCTTGACCGAGTGATCTTCCTGCTCTGCTAATGTTACTACCTGGCCAGACCATTTCATAATAGAGCTTAAAGCAACCTTCCATACCCACTAATTGCCCAGGGCATGGCAGAAATAACATGATTTAGATAGAAAAGAAAGTTTGAGAGATGTTAAAATATGTTGATTTCCTCCCACATAAATTTGTGTGTGAATTTTGGAAGAAATTTTTACTTGGAATTTAAATTGCAACATGTTTTTCCACATTTCCCTTAATTCAGCAATCTTTTTACCAGAAAGAGTTCACCATTAGGACATAGTCTCACGTCCCCCACAAACTCGGGCTTTAGACCGCAAGTTAATCAAAAACAAATATCAATCTTTAACAGGTAGTTCAGCAAACATAATAGCAAGGTTTATAGTCCACAGCTAAAGTTAGTTTTTCTTATGCCTTTTTAGTGATGCATCTGAACTCTTATGCTTTTAGGATCATCCCTCCTTCCCTTCCCTCCCCTCCCCTCCCCTCCCTTCTCTTCTTTTACCGCCCTCCCTCCCTGCCTCCCTTCCTCTCTTCCTTCTGTCTTCTTCTCTTTCCTCCCTCCCTTCCTTCCCTGTCTTCATTTTCCTATTCTCCTATTTTAAAGATGGAGCAAAGGTGATGGTGTTTGTCCTTATCAGTGCTTCTCACACTTTAGTATGCAAAGAGTCACCTGGTAAACCTTGCTAAAATGCAGATTGCAGATTCTGTTCAGGGGGGTTATTCGTTTGCTAGGGCTGCTGTAACCCTAGCAAACAGAATGTACGACAAACAGAATGGCTTAAACAACAGACATTGACGGCCTCCCAGTTGTGGAGGCCAGAAGCCTGAGATTTAGGGGTCAGCAGGGTTGGTTCCGCCTGAGGGCTCTGAGGGAGAACCTGTTCTGTTCCTCTCTCCTAACTTCTGGTAGTTTGCTGACAACCTTTGGCGTTCCTTGTCTTGTTGAAGCATCACCCCAATCTCTGCCTTCATCTTCCTATGATGTTCTCCCCGTGGCAGGTCTGCATCCTAGTTTCCACCTGATATAAGGGCACCAGTTACACTGAATAAAGCCCATGTGCTCATGTCCTCATCTTAACTAGTTACATCTGCACAGACTCTATTTCCAAACAAGGGGTTAGGACTTCAACATATGAATTTTGAGGTCACACAAGTCAACCCATAGCAGTAGGTTAGGGGCAGATGGGACCCGAGATTCTGCATTTCTAGCAAGCAACCAGGTGACGCTGCTGCTGCTGGTTCAGGTGCCACACTTTTGGAGGAGCAAGGCTGAAGCTAATATCCTTGCAAGTTGTATAATGAGACTCTTGCATGGATGTGGATGGCAGGGATGATTAATGAGGGCTCTTCTACTCAGAGAGCAAAAGATATTTCATGTAAGCAGTGCAGATCATAATCCCCTTTGGAAGCCCATCATGTGAATATGCTAACAATGTTTTAAGCATTTTTTTTTCTGACTATAAAACTAATGTACTCATTGTAAAAAATTAGAAACTGTTGGGGGAAAAAAATGAGGTGCACTGTCCCATGTTCTGTCCCTCCCAATCTAACTTGGAGCACATTCCATCGCTTGTCCACTCTCAATATTTTGGTGCTTTTTTCTATATTAATTAAGTAGTAATTAATTTATTCAATAAATAGTTATTGAGTGGACACTATGCACCAGGCACTGTTCCAGGACACGTCAGTGGACAAGCCTCACAAGGCCCCTTCTCTCATGGGGCTGAAATCCTAGTGGGGTAGACAGGTGATCAGTCCTTACTGCTTTGCTGGGGGATAAGCACCATCAAGAAAAGGGAGGGACATTTCCAAGGAAATAAACAGTGATAGTAATGAGTAAATTCACGTGTAATATCATTCTTAAACTTTGCTGACTCAATAGAATTACACTGCTTTATTTTGCACTTTTTAGTTACTAGGAAGTTTATTTCTTGCATGTGTTATTAGTCATTTTATTACTCCATGAATGGTTGGCAACATTTTTCAACATGTTTTTCTTATCAAATTGAAAGAACTTTTATGAGCTAAGAGCAATAATTCTATGCTCGTTACGTTTTTCATTGTGTGTGTATGTGTGGGTGGGTGGGTGTGGGTGTGTTTTAACATATAGAAGTTCAAACAGTCTTATTTGGTCAAATCTATGAGTTTTTCCTTTCAAATTTTTGATCCTTATTGAGACTTGAATCTGACCTGCAAAAGCAATTATTGAGGCTGGGTGCGGTGGCTCACGCCTGTAATTCCAGCACTTTGGGAGGCCAAGGTGGGCGGATCACTTGAGGTCAGGAATTCAAGACCAGCCTGGCCAACATGGCAAAACCCTATCCCTATTAAAAATACAAAAATTAGCTGGGCATGGTGGTGCATGCCTGTAATCTCAGCTACTCAGGAGGCTGAGGCAGGAGAATCACTTGAACCTGGGAGGGGAGGTTGCAGTGAACCAGGATTATGCCACTGCACTCCAGCCTAGGCAACAAAGCAAGACTCTGTCTCAAAAAAAAAAAAAAAAAAAAAAAAAGAAAAGAAAAGAAAAAAAGGAGCAATTATTGAGATAGCTTTGATATTAACTTGCCCCTGACCCCTGGCAACCCTGAAGGCCTCTGAGCTTCCAACAGGTCCAGAGTCGAGTCTCCAGCTCTCAACTCCTAGGAGCTGCCAATGGGTCCCATGCCCGCTACGGCTGGCTCTACAGCGACACCCTGAGCTCGTGCTTTCTCAGGCATGCTTGGGTCCATCTGCATCTTCTACTTCCTCCTTCTAAGAACTCCACCTATGGCTTTCAGATTTGAACCTGAATCTTTACCTCACATTAATGTTCATTCCTGCTGGATCCATGATTGCTTCTGTTGCTGCCAACCTGGCTTCAAGGTCATTTTCTAGAATAATTTTCTCGAATTGGGAGATAGATGCAGAGAATTTTATATCCAAGTACAGAAATAAAGTATTTTGGAAAAAGCTGTTCACTTTTTCATGATTTAAAAGTATGAGAGCAGCAGCAGTTTATCAGATGAAATGGGGTATAACCTTGGAGAAAGATCAAGGCCTTGATTGCATTTTTGTGGAACTAAACTGTTGTCCTTATTTTACTTAGTTCTCTTCCAAATGCAACGTTTTAGAGAATGTTGAAATTATCATTTAAATTAGAGTAACATATTGTTGTTGTGGTTGCTGCTTCCTTTTAGGTTAGAGAAGAAATGAAAATCCTTGTGCAAGATAAAGGTGTTAACTCTTTCAAGATGTTTATGGCCTATAAAGATCTGTACATGGTGAGAGACCTGGAGCTGTACGCAGCCTTCTCTCAATGCAAGGAAATCGGAGCAATTGCCCAGGTCCATGCAGAAAATGGAGACTTAATTGCAGAGGTACGCATTTGCATTCCAAAGCTTCTACAGAAATGACAGCAGCCATAACTTAAGGTGAAGATGATTGGGACTACATAGGTAAACTCATTTAATGCATTGGAACATGAGAAATCCAGAAATGGATTTTCTGTGGCTCAGAAACGGATTTTCTGTGACTCAGAAACTCCCGACTCCATTTACTCGAGTCCCTGCTCTCAGCTTTATGCAGGTGGTATATGCACTAGAATGAGGACTTCCCCCTGCAAACTAGCTCTTAGATCTCAAACATGTGCTGTTATGAAAACACAAATACTTTTCTTTGTGTCCTCCAGCACAGTTTTGGCTTTGTTGTTTTTCAGAAGCTCAGGCTGCCGGTTCAGAATACCAAAGCGTGGACAACATCAGTGTCATCTGATGACTTAAGCAGTGTATTAGGTAGCTCTTTAAAGCCCTGCTCTTTTCAGAAACTGGATATTAAAATGTACTCTGGAAGAATCTAGATGATATTTATTTCTCATGTTAGTCCCATTATTAATGCCTGAAGGGTACACCGTCTGCAAGATTTAAAGAGCTGTCTCTTGCCCTTTATATTAGCTGACTTTTTTTTTAAACTCCCTAGGCTCAGCTCCCATTAAAGTGAGTGAGATAGAGGCTCAGTGGCCACAAGGCAGAGAGGAATAATGAGATGAGAGCGTGAGCTGTAAAAACAAAACAAAACAAAACAAAAAACAGACCAGGGTTTAAATTGGACTCTTCTGCTTTATAGTTTCATGACATCAGGAAGTCTTTACCACTCTGAGTCTGGACTTCATGCCCTTTTTGTAAGGAAGAAATAACATTTTGAAGAAGAAAGAGAACAGGTCCAATACCATTTAGTGGGTTGGGTTGGGGAGCAAGTGAAGAGGATTATTCCACAAGAAAAGTAAAACTGATTACATAGTATGACAGGGAGTCACTTCAACAAGGATCCATAGTATTTTTATTTTGTTTGTTAGAATCAATGTTAAATCTTAAATATAGATATTGCTTTTCAAAGATTGTGATTAGAAATAACTTCATATCTTTTTCACCTTTTATTTTTTAATTTTTTTTTATTTTTGTGGGGTACCTAGTAGATGTATATATTTATGAGGTACATGAGATATTTTGATACAAGCTTGCAATGCATAAGAATCACATCATGGAAAATTGGGGATCCATCCCCTCAAGCATTTACCCTTTGTGTTACAAACAATCCAATTATACTCTTTTAGTTATTTTAAAAGGTGCAATTATTTTTTATTTTTTTATTATTATTTTTTGAGACAGGGTCTCGCTCTGTTGCCTAGGCTGGAGTGCAGTGGCATGATCTCTGCTCACTGCCAGCTCCGCCTCCCAGGTTCATGCCATTCTCCTGCCTCATCCTCCTGAGTAGCTGGGACTACAGGTGCCCGCCACCATGTCCAGCTACTGTTTTGTATTTTTAGTAGAGATGGGTTTTCACCGTTTTAGCCAAGATAGTCTCAATCTCCCGACCTCGTGATCTGCCCACCTCCACCTCCAAAAGTGCTGGGATTACAGGTGTGAGCCTTGCGCCTGGCCAAAAGGTGCAATTATTGATTATAGTGCCCCTGTTGTGTTATCAAGTACTAGATCTTATTCATTCTTTCTAACTTTTTTTTTAAAACACACGAACCATCCCCACCTTCCCCCTCTCCCCACAGCCATCCCTCCCCACTAACCTTCCCAGCCTCTGGTAACCATACTTCTATTCTGTATTTCCATGAGTTTAATTGTTTTAATTTTTAGATCCCACAAATAAGTGAGAACATGTGATGTTTGTCTTTCTGTGTCTAGCTTATTTCACGTACATAATGACCTCCAGTTCCATCCATGTTGTTGCAAATGACTGGATCTCATTCTTTTTATGTGTATATGTACCACATATTCTTTATCTATTCATCTGTTGATTCCAAATCAGGTTCCAAATTCCAAATTAGGTTGCTTCCAAATCTTGGCTGTAGTGAACAGTGCAGCAACAAACATGGCAATGCAGGTACATCTCTTCGATATACTGATCTCCTTTCTTTTGCATATATGTCCAGCAGTGGGATTGCTGGATCATATGGTAGGCTCTATTTTTAGTTTTTTGAAGAACTTCCAAACTATTCTCCATAGCAGTTTTACTAATTTACATTCCCACCAACAGCGTACATAGGTTCCCTTTTCTCCAATCCTTACCAGCAGTTGTTATTGCCTGTCTTTTTAATATAAGCCATTTTAACTGGGGTGAGATGATATTTCATTGTAGTTTTGATTTGCATTTCTCTGATGATCAGTGATATTGAGCACCTTTCCTATGCCTGTTTGCCATTTGTATGTCTTCTTTGGAGAAATCTCTATTCAAATCTTTTGCCCATTTTTAAATCAGATTATTAAATTTTTTCCTGTAGAGTTGTTTTAGTTTTGTATATATTCTGGTTATTAATCCCTTGTCAGATGGGTAGTTTGCAAATATTTTTTCCCATTTCATGGGTTGTTTCTTCACTTTGTTGATTGTTTCCTCTGCTATGCGGAAGCTTTTTAACTTCATGTGATCCCATTTGTCCATTTTTGCTTTGGTTGCCTGTGCTTGGTTTTTCCCCTTTTCAATAAAAAAAAAGTGATGGTAAAATATGCATATGGAAAATTAACTTATATGATTAGAATATCAAATTTATTCTTATCAAATATACATGTTGTATATATACACCCACACAAACATGTTCACACACACACACACATGCACACACACACCCCTATACCTAACAGATCAAAAGCCTGGCATTGCATTTAATTTATGATAAAATAATGATATCTGTCATTAGTAAACCTTCCTTGCACATATGCACATTCCTGCTGTCTTTTTAGGGAGCAAAGAAGATGTTGGCTCTGGGGATAACAGGCCCTGAGGGTCACGAGTTGTGCCGCCCAGAGGCAGTGGAGGCAGAGGCCACGCTGAGAGCCATCACCATAGCCAGCGCTGTGAACTGTCCTCTCTACATTGTGCATGTGATGAGCAAGTCTGCAGCTAAGGTGATAGCGGATGCAAGGAGAGACGGTAATTCCTGAATGTAACCTCACTTAGAACTCAGTGTTAGCTGAAGAGGAAAGTCCATGTCTGTGGCCTCTGCTTCAGTTTAGGAGAGAGTGCATGTGGATTTTCACAACTTTTCTTCCTCCCTTTTTATTAGCCTCCTGGTTTCGTTTATCCTTATGTGTGTCTGTTTTCCCCCACTTTTGTTCATCTTCATCCTTTCCTCTCTACCTTCAGGTTTCCTTTGTTATTTCTTCTCCATCCTTGGGACCCCAGGACATTTCCTTTAGCCACATGCCCCCACACTCAATGCCACTAGCAGCCACTTTTAAATACGATAGTTAAATGCAAAGCTCTCAGGTTTTTGTTTGTTTTTGTGATGGAGTCTCGCTTTGTCGCCCAGGCTGGAGTTCAGTGGTGTGATCTCGGCTCACTGCAACCTCTGCCTTCTGGGTTCAAGCGATTCTCCTGCCTCAGCCTCCTGAGTAGCTAGAATTACAGGTGAGCACCACCACACCCAGCTAAATTTTATATTTTTAGTAGAGGCGGGGTTTCACCATGTTGGCCAGGCTCGTCTCAAACTCCTGACCTCTAATCATCTGCCCGCCTTGGCCTCCCAAAGTGCTAGGATTACAGGTGTGAGCCACCATGCCTAGCCCTCTTTCATTAATTTTGAAGAAGCTTCCCTATCTCTTAGGCAGCTCCACTACCCTTCCCTCTACCTAAATCAGGGCAGTGCAAGGCACCTAGTACATGCTCAATAAATTTCTTTTGAATTGAATTGATTCATCTGACAGCCACTTGGGTGTTGGAGCAATTGAAGCAATTATCCAAATGGTGTTTTTATGATAGTTATTTTAAGATTTTAAAACCTAAGTTATTTTTACCCCAAATTGCCTAATTGCCTCAGTTCTCTAGTTCAGTCTAGCATGTAAATATTCATCTTAAAGGAAAGAGAAAATCTCCTATTTTTGATAAGCATTGGGCAAATAAATGATTTCATTCTTTTGCCAATACTGGTAGAGAAAGGACGAAAAACAAATAAGGTGCATTTTACTCAATGACTTTAGGCCCATGGTAGCTTCTGTCCTCTCAATTTTAGGAATACAGATAATCAGAGACAGTCTTATAATTCAACCTTGCTGGTTTTTTTGTTTTTTTTTTTTTTTTTTATTAAAACAGGCTGTATTTTTATAAGATTCATTATAAAAATAATGGGTCTCACTCTGTTGCCCAGGCTGGAGTGCAGTGGTAAAATCACGGCTCACTGCAGCCTCTAACTTCCAAGTGATCCTCCCATCTCAGTCTCCCAAGTAGCTGGGACCACAGGCATGCGCCACTATGCCCAGCTAATTTTTAAATTGTTTGTAGAGACAGGGTTTCGCCATGTTGCCCAGGTTAGTCTCGAACTCCTGGGCTCAAGCAGTCCTCTCACCTTGGCCTCCCAAAATGTTGGGATTACAAGCATGACCCACCGCATGGTTTTGGCATGTATATAATTGATACCAAAATAAATTTTGTCAAAATTTCTTCTTGTTGCATTAAGGTTCAGTAATGATTTGTGCAAGCTGTGTGCACTTTTAAAATGTAATCCATCAATATTTTGTGTTAAGAGTAGGCTTATTTCACATAGGAGTTAATAATGTCTTATTAACCAACCATTTCTGATTGCTACTCTCGTATGTAAAAGAATTTCACCCCTTAAAAAAGAAAATATAAGTACTGCAATTTTAAAGTTATAGGTTTTTCCCACCAGATGGTGCTGTTGCCAACTCTATGAGATGAGTTGGTCTGTAATTATTTGCTTTGTTAAGTCGTGTACCAGGTCCGTAATGTCAGAATATTATTTAAGGAACAGTGAAATCAGCAGAAATTTTCACTTCTAACCCATCTTCAAGCTCCAATTTTGACAGTTCTGTCAGGAAGCAGTTTCTTGATCTTGGGTATTTGTTTTTCATTGAGATAGAATTCCATTAGGAGCAAAGTAAAAGTCTAGAGAGGGTTTTAGAATACAGATCATAGGCAGAAAACTAGTAAATACAGATATTTTAATTTTATTGTAAATCATTTTAAAATTCAATATTATTTCTTGAATCTGTAAAACATTTGCATGGTCCAAGAGTCAAAGTTATATCTAAAAATGTTCAATGAAGTTTTACTTGCCTTCTCTAGCTCCTTCTTCCCATACAGTATAAGTAATGATTTTTATTAATTTATTTCTGGCCTATCTTTACCATGTTTCTCTTTACCAAATAAGAATATAGTTCTTCTTTCCTACATAAAAGGTAGCATACTGTACACCTTGTCTACACATTGCTTTGTTTTCCACTTGAAAATATGTTCTGAAGGTCAGCCCACATTAGACACAGAAATTTTCCTCATTCTTTTTTGTAAGTACAGAGTATGCTACTGTATTTATTCAATGAGTCCCCTATGGATGGACATCTGGGTTGTTTCTGATCTTCAGCTGTTTCAAGAGAAACCACAGTGATGACCTTTTGCATATGCCATTTCAATTTGTGAAAGACACATTCGTTCTGGAGGTCAGAAGCCTGAAATGGGTCTCACCAGGCTACAGTCAAGGTGTCTGCAGGGCTGCATCCCTTTCTGACGTACTAGGAAGCCCTTGCCTTGCCAGCCCTTGTGAGGCCCATCGCATTACTTGGCTTGTGGCCCCTTCCTCCATCTTCAGCACCAGCCACAATGGTTGAGACCTTCTCACATCACATTATTTTGACCTTTTTTGCCTCTCTCTTTCACTTTAAGGGCGCCTTATATTAAGCCTACCTGATTAATTCAGGATAATTTCCCCCATTTCAAGGGCCTTAATTTAATCATATCTATTAATCCCTTTGCCGTGTAAAGTAACATATTCACAGGATATGGGGATTAAGATGTGGACATCTGTTGGGCTCCATCTTTCTGCCCACCACAAAATGGGTATCTTGAGGGTAGATTCCTAGAAGTGGGATTGCTGGTTCAAATTGCATATGTAATTTTTGGGACATTGCTCATATTTTCCCCAAGGAATTATAAACACGAAATATTTAAAATACCACCCTAAACATTGTAGTTGAGTCAGACTTACTGTGACAGTATAATACTTGTGAAAATACCCTCACGTGCAATTGTCAAAGAGGCGACATTGCTTCAGAATAAAATAGTTTGAAAGATTCCCTACCCCATGCATGTGACCAAGGCATGGGATCAAGCAGGGGCCCAAAGAGGAAGGGGTGGACATAAACTGTGCCCAGCTGTTCACATGGTGACTGCATCAGCAAACCAAAGGACAGATCCCTGCGGGTACAGTGGGACAAGAGCTGTTGGACCACACTGACCTCTTACAGAAGATGCATCTACCCTGTCTGCACTCATTTATTATCTCACATCATTTCTAAATGTAAAAGAGCAAGATAGATGTAAATAAGAAATCGTTCGGTTTTACACATTTATACTATGAAAATCTCCCATCTGTAAATACCATTGCCAGCCCATTCTTTTTTATTTTTTATTTATTTTTATTATTTTTTTTGAGACAGAGTCTCACTTTGTCACCCAGGCTGGAGTGCAGTGGCGTGATCTTGGCTCACTGCAACCTCCACCTCCCGGGTTCATGCACTTCTCCTGCCTCAGCCTCTCGAGTAGATGGGATTACAGGCTCCCACTACTATGCCCAGCTAATTTTTTTGTATTTTTAGTAGAGACAGGGTTTCACCATGTTGGCCAGACTGGTCGAGGTGGCTCATGCCTGTAACCTCAGCACTTTGGGAAGCCGAGGCGGGTGGATCACCTGACGTCAGGAGCCCATTCTATCTTCAAGGGCCTTGACTCTCACAGTGTGGTCCCTAGAGTGCAGCCTCCACATTGCCTGGGAGCTCCTTGGACACTCAGAGCCTTGGGGCCCATCCAGATTCCCTGAATCAGAAAGTGCACTTATAACTAGAACCCCAGGTGATTCATATGGATATGAAAGCCTGAGAATCACGGCTCCAGGAGGCACAAAGGAGATCCAATTATTGATTGCTTCATTGTGGTAGCCTAGAAATATAATGCTATTAAATTTGATTTTATTGTTCAATCGCCAGCTCTATACCCAGAAGAGCGGGATAGTAATGATAACAACTAACAGCTTGCTGAGTGCTTAATATGTGCCTGGCACATAGTAGTATTTTAATCTCTTTTATCTCATTTCAGGTTTTACTATAATCTTATCAGTGCGTTTTAATACACATTGTCTTTTAAAAAATTGTCATAATAATGCCTCATGCTCAATTTTACCACTCTTTTGTGATTGATGAAATTGAGGCTTGGGAGAGATTGGTGAATTGAGCCAAAGATCACTTTATTAGTAAGTGCTAAACTTGGAATTCAAGTCCAAGTCTATGTGTCCCCAAAGACCAAACTGTTTCTGTCACTCTCCACTCTGTTAAAGGAGAAATTGATCTGAAGTTGGGAAGACCTGGATATCAAGTTTGTATTTAATGGGCTTGGGGTTTATTTATTTATTTTTAGAGGTAGGGTCTCTCTGTCACCCAGGCTGGAGTGCAGTAGCACAATCTTAGCTAACTGCGGCCTCAAGTTCCTGTGCTCAGATGATCCCCCCAACCTCAGCATCCCAAGTAGCTGCAACTACTCATGTATGCCACCACACCCAGCCAATTTTAAGAATTTTTTGTAGAAATGAAGTCTCCCTTTGTTGTTCAAGCTGGTCCTGGCCTCAGGTGATCTTCCTGCCTCAGCTTCCCACAGCACTGGGATTACAGGAGTGAGCCACCACACCTTGCTGGTTTTGGTGTTTTAAAATTTGTAATTGTAATTGGTTTTTGGTTTTTGGCATTACATTTAAATTTCTTATTTAAGACATTATCATCATTTTGCTATCTTTATCATTAAAAGATTAATTTTGGGGGCGGAAATGATGAAGTATTAAATGGAAAGTAAATATCTTCTATCTCTCTCAGCTCATTCTTTAGAGCCAGTGATTTTAAACTTATCTATCTTTAGTTTTTGGTGGTTACCTCTAA